GAACCGCAGATAGCTAAGCAGGAGAAAAGATAGGAGGGGCTGGCAGGCAGAGAGAATAAATAGAAGAAGAAAAAGAGCAAAGAGGAGGAAGGAATGAGAAAAGAAGGAGGAGGACATCAGAGGTCAGCCGCCAACTACACAGCAAGTCATGCAGTAAGAAATAATGAAAGGTATACAGAAACAGAAAGGTAAAAGCCCAGAGGCAAAAGAGAGCTGCAGTAATTTAAGAAAAGCTAGTTAGAGACAAACCAAGCTAAGGCTGGGCATTCATAAGAAAGAATAAGCCTCTGTATGCATGTATTTGGGAGCTGTGTGGTGGGTCTCCCAAAGAGTAATAGAACAATCATCAACATTTTGGTGCCCGACATGAGTCTCTTGAATTTCCACAGATCCTGAAAAAGCTTAAAAAAAAAAAAAAAGAACACGGCTCCTTTAGAAAGTTCTCCTTTGAGTTTGTTGTCTTTGAACTTCAAGTGTGTGAGTACCTAGCATGTTATGTGGAAACCAAAACTGCTCTTCCAGGGTGGTCCCTCTGGCCAGCCAGGCCCCTCAGATGAGGGTTGCTCCCAGGCAAGCACTTTCAGCTCAGCCTCCAGCAGCAGCAGCACCATCTTCAGTTGACTCACCTGCTAGGCAGCCATGCCTAACGGCCCAGATGGCAACCGCTACAGCCCGTGTGGCTCTGGGTTCTGCAGTGGGGCCCACCCTAGGTCATGCCATCACTGGAGGCTTCAGTGGAGGTGGTAATGCTCAGCCTGCCTGACATCACTTACCAGGAGCCCCAGGGAGCCCAGCTGCTAGACCAGGCATCTTATGGGCCTTGCTCTTGAGATCAGTTTCTGGAGTGTGCCCAGAACCAGAGCAACGTCAAACTCTGCAAGGGCTTCAACAAGGTGTTGCAGCAGTGAAGAATTGCAAATGGTTTAATCTAATCAACAAGTTCAAACTAAAAAATTGAAAAGGGCTCTACATAATTGATAGCGCAAGTTCAGACCCTGAGTAAACCTTTTATTTCTAATAGCTCCATTGCTTCAGAATAATCATGAAAGAATTCTAACTGTACAGATATTCACTGAGGCTTATAGTGTTGGGGACTGGGCAAGTGATGGCCTCCTTGAACCAACTATATTTTTTTTGTGAGCTAATGAAATTCTGCCACACAGAAACAACTTTTTTCACACTAAATAGAAACAAAAACTATGTAAAAGCGCCTGCCTCAGTGCAAGCACTGGAAGTCTAGATTTTTGGGGATGTTGAATGCAGTTCTGGCCAAATGCACCTCCAACTGGACTGCAAGCTTTAGGCTTGGTTCTCAGGAACCTAGAAGCAAGTGGAGTCAGCCATTAGAGTGGCACAGAGCACTCAGCTGTAGCTTAGTAGTTTAAAGTTTGCTCACATGGTCAAAACATAGATAAAACATAGATAAACATAAATAAAAGAGGTCCAGACGGAAAAAAATCTCTAAACAGGTTCCAGTGTGTTTTACAATGTGCATAGGCTTAAGAAAGAAAGAATATGGATATAGACAGTCATACAAAGAAAGAAATACTTTAAAACACAGTAACACAAAGTCTTTAAAGAGCCATGTAGATGGGAAATACACAGGGAGTCTGAATCTTACATATTGTTATATTTCTTTTGAATTTTTGATTGTTGATAAGCAAACAACAGCTGCTAAGAGATATGGGAATGAAAGAGGGACTGATGAAATAAACCGGCCTAGATATTTTAAAAATGTTCTAACTTTAAAATGGAAGTAAAAAAATGCATTTGTAAAATTGAACTTAAAAGATGCAGTGCTTTGGAGAAGCAGTCTTGTTTTTGTTTCCAAGGGAAATGAAAGGCTGTGTTGTTCCACGTTAATATGGATCAGGTTTGATCAAGTGAGACCTCCCGAAACTTGACAGGTGATATCTACCGTCAAAGGTTATAGCCGGTCTTCTCAGGACGTGACCATTATCTCAATTTTCTCAGGGATCCCTAAAGATGCTTTGCCCACAGACAACAGGAAGCAGTCTGGAGAACATGACACCCACTTTCCCAAGAAGGGGTGTGAGAAGCTTTTCGTTATTTGGTGGGTTATGGATCTTTGTTATCATTTAGGGAAATATAGTATATTGATACAAATTTAAAGTTATTTTGTTACACTGTATATACATTTCTACTCTTGTTTAAGGTATTGTGCCTATGCAGTAAAAATGTAAGGTAAAGCTCTAGTTGTTGGAAGCTATTATTATAAACTATTTACAACAATCAACAAACACAGGTTAATATTTAGTCATCTATAACAGTCAAATTTGTAGATATGTTAGGCATGTTTTCAAGATCAGAGATATTTTAGATAAATAAGTGGTCTTCAAACACTTCAAAGACCTATAGAATATGGCATTTAAAATGTTTTGCTAACCTAAGGCTTTTCATGACAATAAGCCACTTCTGCTCCTAGCAGCACCAATTTGCTTCAGAGATAATGGGCATGGAAGAAACTCCTTAAGGAGTTTGTTTTCATTGCGGTAAGTTTAGCCACTGGGCAAAAAGACTGTTGTTGTCTTAGATTGCTGATAATGTGCTGTGCAGACAAGACATGCAGGCCCAAAGGAAAAATTCCTGCTTCACAAAAGAGTCTGCCAGATATTCTGCAGGACACAAAGGAAAGCAACTGATGAACTTTGCTAATACAAGGTAGGCCAGTCCTTTAGTTTTTTTGCTTCACTGAAAAGTCTGCCAGATACTCTAGGCCAATAGGCTGAAGATGTATGCTTCAATGTTGCAGAGGAACTTTGGGTGACTATACAAGCAGCAAGATGTCTCTTTTAGTAGGTCATCAAAGACCTCCTTCTGGGTCTTTGATTGAGTTAAAAACCAAATGAACTATTTTCAGTTATTTTTCCTTAGTTATGATAGAAAGTAAATTAAGTATAAAACTTGGCTTCACTAAGATGGGATGGTTGGTGGGGTGTTTTCTCTGAATTTGCTACATACAAAAGGACTGAATATTGTAAATTAGTTCTTACTTGATAAATGTTTTTGTTGTATAGAGTTTTACTCTGTTAAAAAACCTATCATTTTATTTAGATAAAAGGAGAAAAATGTTGTATAATTTATTTTAAGATGTTATTTTAAGATGTGTTACATTTGTTTACATTGTGAAACATTTGTTGAATGATGCAAAGATGTGTTGTATTCTTTTATATTGCATTTGTTTAACTCTGTGAAGCTGTGATACTTTGCCTGTCTAAAACACTTGATTGGTCTAATAAAATGCCAATAGCTAAGCAGATAAAGGATAGGAGGGGCTGGCAGGTAGAGAGAATAAAAGGAAGGGGGAAAAGAACAAAGGGGAAGAAGGAACAAGAAAAGAAAGAGGGGGACATCAGGGGCTAACCACCCAGCTATACAGCAAGCCATGGAGTAAGAAATAAGGAAAGATACACAGAAACAGAGAAAGGTAAAAGCCCAGAGGCAAAAGATAAACAGGATAATTTAAGAATAGCCTTTTAGAAACAAGCCAAACTAAGAACAGGCATTCACAAGAAAAAAATAAGTCTTTGTGTGCATTTATTTGAGGGCTGGGTGGAAGTGCCACAAAGAATAAAGAGTAATAATAATAATAAAAAACCCCAACACACCAGCAGACTGGATATACAGAAAGGTGCAAAATTCTTCCACACATTAGAGTGATGAGGATATGGGAGTGGTTTTTGAAATAAATGTCAGGGTGATCTCTCTCTTTCCTTAATGCTATGCTCTTGACCAAGGAGAAGGCTGGCCTTTCCAGAATCATGGGGTACAACCTCTAAGCTCTTGAGGTTTCTCTAGTAACAAGACCAATAGTGCTATTCATGGCAGAGCCTTCATGCCACATCTGCAGCTTACACTAGAGCACAGTGACTCATGAAGGCCCCCATGAACAATGTGGCATCAAGTCTAGTTGGCGACTGAGATCAACCACATTGTCAATCCATAATGAATCTGAACTCTGAAGGCTGAGTTCTAAAATTGGGATACTGTATGGATAGTGCCATATAACAATTATAGGAGGGTAGCATGCCTAGAAGACAGGAGCTTCCCAGGTAAAAACTTCCTAAATTTTGTCCTATGCATCTTCCTTGGTTAGTACAAACCTGTATCTGATTTCTCTTGTGTGCACCACTATCGTAATAAGCTGAATTATTTGTATACAATGGTACACCCATTGTGTTAGTTAGGGTTTCTTCTGCTGTGAAGAGACACCATGACCACAGCAACTCTTATAAAAGAAAACATTTAATTGAGGCGGCTTACAGTTTCAGAGGTTCAGTCCATTATCATCATGATGGGGAGCAAGCGGCATGGAGGCAGACATGGTGCTGGAGGAGTAGCTGGGAGTCCTACATCTCGCAGACAACAGGAAGTCTATTGTGACACTGAGCAGAGCTTAAGCAGAAGACCTTAAAGATTGCCTCCATTTGTGACATACGTCCTCCAACAAGACCATATCTACTCCAGCAAAGCTATACTTCCCAATAGTGCCACTTCCCTTGGGGATCATTTTCTTACAAACTACCACAAGGGTACTAGCAAACTATTAAATCTTAGGATATTTGGGAAAACCCTCTAAACTTGCAATTGATGTGAAAGTGAGGGATTCTTCACTTAACTCTGCAGTTAGGGTCAGAAGTCTTGAGCAGGTTGGGGAGTCTGGATAACTATCTGTTCCCTCACAGTTTTGCTAATTCCAGGTCAAAGAGCAAGCATATTCATATTAAAAATATAGATTTAGATGAACTTTCTTGCATTTGTGTTTATGTGACTGCTATTTTTATGTGTATGAGTGTTTTGCCTGCATGTACGTCTATGTACCAGTGGCATGCCTGGCAGCTACATGTGTCAAAAAAAAAAGCATTAAATTCCCTGGAACTTAAATTACAATTGTGACCTGTCTGCAAGAGTAACAGTGCTCTTAACCACTGAGCCATCTCTCAAGACCCCTATATTTATATAACTGAAAATCTACTTACCTGAGGGTCCACTAACCACCCATGATACAAAGGAATATCTAGAAGATCGAAGACTATGCACTCTGGTGTGTACTCGAACACTCGTACACCAGTAAATCTGACATTCACATCCAGGCCTGTCTGCAGTTTGTGCAAGATTGCCATAGCATCACTCATATTCTGAAAATACAAAGGGGGAGAAGTAGAATTCAGAAGAATAAGAATTACAAAAAGATTGTATGTAATGACAGGTGATAGGAGCTTATAGTTGTCCCCGCAGGGTTCTCACTGAGATTTCCAGGCCAACCTAGGTATCACACCAAGATCTTGTTTCTTTTCTTATCTTTTTTCTTTTCTCCTCCCTCCTCCCTCCACCTCCTCCTCCTCTCTCTCTCCTTTTTTGAGTCAGAGTTTCTTTGTGTAGCCCTGGCTGTTCTAGAACTCACTTTGTAGACCATGCTGGCCTTGAACTCATAGAGATTCACCTGTCTCTGCTTCCTGTGTGCTGTAATTAAAAGTATATGTCACCACAGCCCAGCCTAAGACCCTCTTTCTATTTATTTATGTATTTTTTTCAGGTATGAGTGCTCTGTCTGTATGCATGCCAGAGAGAGCTTCAATCCTGTGTGGTTACTGGGAACTGAACTCAGGACCACTGGAAGAGCAGCCAGTGCTCTTAACCAGTGAGCCATCTCTCCAGCCCCAAGACCCTGTTTCTAAGAAAGAAAGAAAGAAAGAAAGAAAGAAAGAAAGAAAGAAAGAAAGAAAGAAAGAAAGAAAGAAAGAAAGAAAGGTAGGTTAAAATTTCCATTTTACCAAGTTATTCCCATCTTCAATACTTTCACTTTCATTTTCTGATTTTCTCTCTCTTTTTTTCTTATAGTTCTGCAGCACTAGGGATCAAACCCAGGGCTTTGTGCATGCTAGACAAGCCACATCTTCAACCCCTTAACAGACTTTTATTAAGTACATACTATGTACCAGGCACTAATCTGAGTTGCAGCATTATAATAGGGAATGTTTGGCAGACTTCTCTCTCTCTCTCTCTCTCTCTCTCTCTCTCTCTCTCTCTCTCTCTCTCTCTCTATCTCTCTCTCTCTCTCTTTCATCTTTCAAGACAAGATTTCTCTGTAGCTTTGGAGCCTGTCCTAGAACTACCTTGAACTCACAGAGATCTGGCTGTCTCTGCCTCCCAAGTGCTGGGATTAATGGTGTGTGCCACCATTGTGCAACTTTGACAAACTTTTTAATAAAGCAGAATTTCTGAAGGACTGTCCTGCTTTATCTGGACAAGGTTTGACAGTCAATCTCTGTTGTGACCTACTTGTCCAATTAGGATAACATACGGCCAGCAGTCAATGCAAGGGCACTTTCTTGCCCAGTGGCTTACTTTTACCACAAAGAAAGAAAACTCCATGGAGTTTCTTTGATGCCCATATATTCTTCAAATTAGATTGGTGCTGCCAGGACCAGACATGTCTCATTGTCATAAGAAAAAAAAATCCTATGTTGTTAAAACATCTTTTTTATTGATATTTATTGAGCTCTACATTTTTCTCTGTTCCCCTCCCTGCCTTTCTCCTCCCCCTTTCAATCCTCCCTCAAGGTCCCCATGCTCCCAATTTACTCAGGAGATCTTGTCTTTTTCTACTTTCTACTTCCCATGTAGATTATATCTATGTATATCTCTCTTAGTGTCCGCATTGTTGTCTAAGTTCTCTGGGACTGTGGTTTGTAGGCTGGCTTTCTTTGCTTTATGTTTAAAAAAACACCTATGCTTGACTATGACCTCCTGGCTTTCATTGTCTCCACTGAGAAGTCAGGTGTAATTCTGATAGGTCTGCCTTTATATGTTACTTGGCCTTTTCCTTTGCAGCTCTTAATATTCTTTCTTTACTCTGTATGTTTAGTGTTTTGATTATTTGTGGCGAGAGGACTTTTTTTTTTTGATCCAGTCTATTTGGTGTTCTATAAGTTTCTTGTATCTTCATAGGCATATCTTTCTCTAGGTAGGGAGTTTTCTTCTATGATTTTGTTAAATAAATTTTCTGTGCCTTTGAGTTGAACTTCTTCTCCTTCTTCTATACCTATTATTCTAAGATTTGGCCTTGTTATGGTATCCCATATTTCATAGATATTTTGGGTTAAGCTTTTGTTAGATTTAATGTTTTCTTTAACTATGAGTCTATTTCCTCTATTGTATCTTCAGCACTTGAGATTCTCTCTTCCATTTCTTGTATTCTGTTGTTCATGCTTAGATTTGTGTTTCCTGATCTTTTACTCATGATTTCTGTTTCTATTATTCCTTCGGCTTGTGTTTTATTTTTTCTATCTCAGTTTTCAAGTTCTGAATAGTTTCTTTTATATGTTTGAGTTCTTTTTCTTGGTTTTCTTTAAGTAATTTGCTGATATCTTCCAATTTTTTGTTTTTTCCTCCATTTCTTTAAGGTAATTCCTCATTTCATCTTTAAAAATTTCAAACATTCTCTTGAGGTTATTTTTTAGATCATTTTCTTCTGGTTCATCCATATTTGGTTGTTCAGGTCTTGCTTTTGTAGGGTCTTTAGGTTTTACTGGTATTGTGTTGCTCTTTATGGGGTAGCCTGTGATCTTACCTTTTCTGCTCATCTTTTCCTCTAATAGGTGTGGTTGGGGCTGTCTGAGATTCTGTTGAATAATCTTCTAGGTGCCAGTGAATCCAAAGCTCAGATGGTTGTTCCTCATAGTACAATCAGTGTCACAGTTCTATTTACCCTGTTGGTTATTCCTGTTCCTGGAGGAAGCTCAGTGCTCCTGTGCTTTGGTCTGCTCCCTTGGAGTTTGCTGTCTCAGGTCTACTTTGGCCTAGGCTGCTGGCTTTGATCTGTTTCTGTAAATCCTGGTCTGGATCTCCTCCTGTAGAAGTCCCTGGCTTGGAGTTGGACCTGTTGTGGTGAAGATTGCTGACTCTGGATGATCGTTGGCTCAGTCCTGATCTGCCCATGTCCCAGGACTGGGTTTGCTCCTGGCTTCTGGTGGAGCTTGTTCTCTCTGTGTGTCTTAGATAACTGGTTCAGTCCCACTCCGGTTCCAGTGGAGATTGCAGACTCTGAGTCAGATCCATTGACTCAATCCTGGTCTGCCAGTGTCCCAGGACTAGGTTGGCTCCCAGGGCTGGATTTGCTGCTGGCTTCTGCTCCCAGTGGAGCTTGTTTCCTCTGGCCCTCTCTATCCTAGGAGTCTCTATTAAAACATCTTAAGTAGCATGTTCAGTGGATCTCTGAAGTGTTTGAAGATGACCTGTATATCTAAAATATATGTTTGATCTTGAAAACATACCTAATATGACTACAAGTTCAATTGTAATAGGTGACTAATTGCTAACCTGCATTTCTTCATTATCCTAAATAGTTGGCAATAAAAACTTTCAAGGGCTAGCAATTTACATTACATTGTTAAATGACTTGCACAGGTATCATACCTTGAACAAGATTAGAAATGTATGTGCAGTACGTTTTATCAAAATTGATCTCAAATTTGTATTAATATACAAAATTATATACAATATACAAAAATATAATCCAATGTAAAATATTTAAAACTAATAGTTGCTTTTTAAAAAAGTAGATTCAGTAATCTACCTTTTTATCATATCTATTTCCTCCTTTTTTTTCTTTTCAGAGTAGATTCAATAATCTACCCTTTTATTCTGTCTTTATCCCACTTTTTCCTTTTGAAAACAAGAACTCTGAATCTATTCTCCTTTGTTCAACTTTCCTTCTGACCATAACCAGTAACAACTTGTAACCAACCCCATAAACAATGATAAATATCCATGACCCTACGGCATTAAAATTCCTGTAGGGGAGTGTTTAGGGGGTAATATGATCAGAATTCAGTTATATTTGGATCCACCCAATCCACATATAGTCATAATAATTAACAGACTCTCTTCTTTATATTTTTTAGGAGCAATCTGAAATCCCCAACAAAGCAAAATTTTCTTTACTTCTTCAAACATTCTTTCTAAAGGATCTATGTTTGAGTCAGTTAATAAGATATTGTTCATCTAATGGTAAACTATGAAATTTTTTTGAAATTTATACTGTGGTTGGGGGAGGAGTTTGTGGATGCCACGACATGCATGTGGAGGCCATAGGACAATCTGAGTGAATCTGTTGTTTCCTTTCCCAAGTGGGCTCCAGGAACTGAATTCCTTTGTGCATTGAATCATCTCAGTGGGATCAGGTATGTTTGCCTTAAGTCCTTATATAGCCTTTGTCTCAAAGTAAAACAGAGCTTTTTTTCCACTGTTGAGGAGTCTAAGCCACTGTAATGAAAATGCATTCAGACTGCATGGCAGTTTGAAAAAAACAAACACGCTGCTGACATTTGCAAACACTTGTCAGGTGGATCCTCAGGACTCGTCAACAGAAGTAAAATGACACTAGGATGACCAACACTATTCTGAATTTGAGTTTTGATGTTATCTAAAGATGCCTCATTGAGTTCAGTAAGAAATTATATAAACTTTATAAGATATATAGATATATATAGCAAACCTTACCATGTCATACTTATAAAATATTACTTACTGCTTTTTAAGAATATTTATTTATTTATTTATTATGCATACAATATTCTGTTTGTGTATTTGCCTGCAGGTCAGAAGAGGGCACTAGACCTCATTACAGATGGTTGTGAGCCACCATGTAGTTGCTGGGAATTGAACTCAGGACCTTTAGAAGAGCAGGCAATGCTCTTAACTGCTGAGCCATCTCTCCAGCCCTATTTACTGGTTTTATGTGGACTTATGAGACATGAAGTTAGAAAGGGGACTCTGAAGGGGAAAATGAAATCTAAAGGTGAGAGGAAAAGAAAGAAAAAACCTGGCAGTAATGAAATTCATGTTAAGTGAGAGTAGGAAAGGATATGGGGAGAAGGGAACCAGAAAACAGGAAGAGCAGGATAGGAGTAACCTAAGAACAAAGCATGCATGAAAATACTACACTAAAGCACACAATTTGTATGCTAGCTTAAAAACCAATAAAAATACCATTTATTAATTTTATATACTAGCAGCTGATGTTAAGATTTAATTGAGAAAGAGGTTTCTAATGCTAAAAACTATGAAAATCACTGCTGTAAACTGCAGGTCCTCCTAGCAATTTTTGGGAGAGTTACTGAGTAGTAAATCTAGGTCCTTCTGAGCTATGCTTCAGTCTTCTGTAATAAAAATGTAAATCAGCATACAAAATTGACTTCAGTTATAGATTGCCCATAATGCAAGATGCTGGTTTTTCAATTGTATTTAGGATATGATCATATGAACATTCAAATTCAAGAAACTTTGTAAATTAAATCCCAGCACTCGGAGGCAGAGGATGATAGATCTTTGTCAATTCAAGGCTAACCTGGTCTACATTGTGAGCTCCAGGCAAGCCAAGTCTACACAGTGAGACCCTATCTCAATCAATCAATCAATCAATCAATCAATCAATCAATGAAAGAGATAAACTCTGAAGAAACAGAAATGAATTTGCTCCTGACAGTTATTTTATTTTCTGAGTGAGGGGCTCACTGTGTAGCCCTGGTTGGCATGGAATATATGCAGATCAGGCTTCACCATGCCCAGCTGATCACGTATTTTAAAAGTTGCTTGGATAGTGAGAATGCATCCCCAGTGATTTTCATTTCCTCCCCAGGTGATCGCTCCTTTCACAAAAAGAAGCTAATTTCTTTTTCTTCCTTCTACTGACAAACACAAAGAACACTGAAGAAAATGAGGCTTGCTTGTTTACTCCCAGCTTTGGTAATTTTCAATCTACTGTGCCTTCATTACAGAACAGGATCTCTAAAGAACAAACCACAAAATGTGGACGTGTTGAAATTACACAATTGCAAACGGTGTCCGGACATCTCAGTCAGCATTTACTTAACTTTATCCTAAACATGACTTGAGGACTGGTTGAGTATTTACCTAGCATGTACAAGATAATGAATTTAATTCTCAGCACTAGAAAAAAATGATAATAACTTAAATGAAACAAAAGATAAATCAATAAAAAATTCACTTGAGAGTCAATTTTTTAAAGAAAAATGCCAACTTATCCTGTACAGATTTATAAGATGATATCAATACATCATTAGCACATACATAGAAAACAGGAATTCACAAATTACAACTGAACCAAATATGGTTCTGAGCTAGGATATACATTACATTTTTAAAAATATTAAAAATATACATTAAAAAAGAAGGAATAAACAATAGACTTGAACTTATGTGACTGAAAAGCCTAAAACATTTACTCTCCAGTCCTGTATAGAAAAAGTTTCAACTGGGCAGGCATGGTGGTGCACACCTTTTAATCCCAGCATTCAGGAGACAGAGGCAGGCAGATCTCTGAGAGTTTGAAGTCATCCTGGTCTACAAAGGGAGTTCCAGGACAGCCAGGGCTGTTATACAAAGAAACCCTGTCTCAGCCAGGCGATGGTGGTGCACGCCTTTAATCCCAGCACTCGGGAGGCAGAGGCAGGCGGCAGACCAGCCTGGTCTACAGAGCTAGTTCCAGGACAGGCTCCAAAGCCTCAGCGAAACCCTGTCTCGAAAAACCAATGTGGTTTTTTAAAAAAATTATATAAAATATGCTTCTATTTTATATATTATATTTTATAAATAATTTTGTGTTATAAATAACACAAAACTTAATATAAAATCATGTTTATTACCTGTTCATAATTTACACGTTGAATTTCTGAAATTTCTTTTGGCTTTGCCTCAAGCATGTAATCGCCTGTAAAAGAAATTATAAATTACCTTTTAAAAATATTTTTGCTGCTTATAAAATATTTTACCTATAAATTTTTAAACACTTAAATTAAAATATTTAAATTTTTAAACAGGTTGCTTATAAAGTCAACCCCTTAGTTCTAACCAAAGAAATTCAAAGTTAACTATTCATCTCACACAGTTTTTAATGTATACATATAAAGCTCATGAACTTTGCCTTTCCTTTCTACCTTTCTTCCTTTTTGTGGTACAATAAATTGAACCTAGGGCCCTATTCATGCCAAGCAAGCATTCAACCCATTGAACTTTAACTTTAGCCCTTTTTTCACTAAAAATACTATATAAACACATATATGTTTAATATATCATACATTATTTTATGCTATATTATATTAATTATATATGGGTGCTTTTCCTGCATGCATATCTGTGTATGACAAGTGTATGTGGAGCCAAGAAGGTATCGGCATCCCTGAACTGTGGTTACAGCGGGTTGTGAGCTGCTATGTGGGTGCTAGGAGTCAGAGCCAGGTACTCTGCAAGGGCAGAAAGTGCTCTTAATCACTGAGTCATCTCTCTCGTACCCCTTCTTTTAGTCTTTGAGACAAAGTCTCAATAAATTGCCCAGATTGGCTTGATATTGCTCTGTAGCCCAGGTTGGCCTTGATTCTCCTGCCTCAGCCTCTTGAATAACTAGATTTACAGGCCTATGCCATCAGGCCTAACTTGAATCTTCTTTCTTATTTTCCATTTTAACAGCATATTTGAGCATCTTTCTATGGCCTAAAGAGTGTACCTACTTCAACTGCTATAAATAATTTAAGTACTTCTCCAACGATATCACAAACGACAAATGCTACCAATCTGCCACTGAGGCACCCTAATCACTGCTATCATTTTTAATGCATGTCTCGCCTTTCAATATATGTGGCACCTTAAAAAACATGGAGCACAATTTTAGTATGTATTTGTCTCTTTCTCTCTGTACACACACACACACACACACACACACCGTTTTCTTACAATTTTATTTATGTGTATGGGTGTTTTGTCTGCCTGTATGTCTCTGTATCATGTGCGTACCTCAGAGACCAGAAGAGCGTTTCAAATGACCTGGGACTGGAACTACAGACAATTGTGAGCTGTCTCCAGGTGGGTACAATTGAATTGGGTCCACTGGAAAGACAGCTATTGCTCTCGGCTTTAGTTTTTTTTAGACAGGGTCTCATTATGTAACCTTGAGTGGCCAGGAACTTCAGAGATCCACCTGCTTCTACTTCCCAAGAGCTAGAAATAAAGACATGCATTTTTATACAAACATTGTGGAGTTCATGTGTATTAACCTAGGGCCTTGAACATGTGCTAAGCATGTGCTCTACCACTGAACTCCAGCCCCAGTCTATGCATTGAGTGTGAAATTATTAATTGAATATGCTTTCTTTAAATTATTAGTGTATTTATCATCATTATTGAGTTGTAAAAGCTCTTTTACATTTTTACCACATTTCTTATTATTGTGTATGTGTGTGTGCACGCATGCATGTGTGTGCGTGTATGTGTGTGTAAGTCAGACAACAAAGTGTGGGATTCAGATCTCTCCTCAAACCAAGAAGGTCTTGGGGACTGAACTTAGTTGTTCAGTCTTGATGGCAGGTGCTTCTAGCCATCTCACTGACCCTAAGAGCTCTTTCAGAATGAGAGGAATTAGCATAATCCCTGTGATATATTTAGTAAAGATTTTTTTCTTATAGGGTTTTTTTTACACTTTATGACAGTTTGTTATTGATTGTTCTATTTTTTTCTGAATGGAAATAGCTATGTAGATTCTGAATTGGATGCTATGTTCAGAAATATCTCCACCACCTTAGAGTTTATAGATATTCATATATCCTTTCTCTTTAACCTTTGTGTGCTCCTGTTTAAATGTTTAAATCTTTCATTTTAAATGGAATTTCTTTGGATAGAAACAGTAAGATATGGAATAGCTTCTTACACAAGCTAACAAGTTAACAAAACCACTTTACTATATAGCCTTTACTCTGAAATAAACCTATAAAGACTACACCAAATATTCTCTTAAGATTGGCAACTCTGAAAGTAAAAGAATTCCTGTAGACATCAATCTTTATTTTAAGACAGTTATACCTGCAATGACTTTATTTTACTTAGACAGAAAGACTTCAAAAGTACTAAAATAATTGCTTTATGGAATAGCATAAGCAATTTTAAAATTATATAAATTGTTTTGTTTGTTCTGGGGAATGAACTCTGGGTCTCATGTATTCAAAAGTTACATCTTTGAAATGCTTCTTTCTATTTAGTCCAGGGTGCCTCAAAATTATGATATTCTGAATTCTGGAATTACATGCAGGTACCATGAAACCTGGTTAGGTTGAGGTTTTGATGTAACATTTAACTGAAAACTAATTTGTGAGTAAATTATATATATTTATTTGGATAATGGATAATGTGAGTGGTCTGTTTGAATCCTGTATTTCATTTGTGTTCCATGCTTATTTTGATGAAAGACTATGTGTGCTTTCCTAGCTACCATGTTACATGTTAGTTGGACTGGTATGTGGAACATTATATGAGACAGTTTTACATGATGTGCTTACAGAGACAAAAGCTTGGGGACTAATGACAAGACTGTCGTAATTTTTATACCTTTTAATATATCCTCCCATATATAATGTATTTACTGACTCATCTTATTTGGCTTTTCTGTGTTCTTGAGACAGGGTCATATTTGTAGCCCAGGCTAACTCTGAAATCATGATTCTCCTGCCTCAGCCTCTCCAGTGCTGGGATTATAGGTAGGTTCCACCATACCTGGCTGATTTACCTCAATGAATAAAATATGACAGTAATGAGATGTCACTTCTGTAATGAGAATACAAAATACTGTAGCTTTTAGTGTTGTGCTCTTTACTGCTCACTCTAAAGACAGCCAGCTTCCACGTTGTGAAGTTCCTTATGGAGAGGTTCCTATGTCAGGAGGCTTCTGGCCAACAGTCATCAGGTAACTAAGGGCTTTAGTACCACAACTCAAGAGAAACTGAGTCCTACCATCAACTGAATGTGTCAATAACCACCAATTCCCCATAGCTGTATATTCTCCTGAAGCGGCAGTGCTGGTGGCCACCAGGTCTTCAGCCTCCTAAGACTTTGAGTAAGGCTGTCACCTAGATTCCTGACCCAAAGATACTGTGAAATAACAAATGATTATTGTTTGGAATGACTTGTTATATAGTACAAGACAACTAATGTACTAGGCACACAATGCTGGAACCATATATTTTAGGAAGAATTTATAGTATAAGAATTTGATTGATCTTGTGTGTGTATACACTGGAGATCAAACCTAGATCTTTGTTGAGTGCTAAGGTATGCTCTACCACTGAACTAAACCTACAAGCCTTATAATCAAATCTTTTTTAAAAGAAGAAATTAAGAATTGGAGAAATGAAAAAAAAAAAGAATTGGAGAAATGGCTCAGAGGTTAAGAGCACTGGCTGCTCTTCCAGAAGTCCTGAGTTCAATTTCCAGCAACTACATGGTGGCTCACAACCATCTGTAATGAGATCTGGTGCCCTATTCTAGTATGCAGATATACAGGCAGACAGAACACCACTGTATACATAATTAAAAAAATTTAAAACGGAAAATGTGGTACATTTACACAATGGAGTACTACACAGCAAAAAAAAATGACATCTTGAAATTTGCAGGCAAATGGATGGATCAAGAAAACATCATATTAGTGAGGTAACCCAGGCTCAGAAAGACAAATATCATATGTACTCACTCATAAATGGCTTTTAGACATAAAGCAAAGAAAAACCAGCCTACAATTCATGATCCCAGAGAACCTAGACAACAATGAGGACACTAAAAGAGGCATACATGGATCTAATTTTCATGGGAGTAGTAAAAGACAAGGTATCCTGAGTAAATTGGGAGCATGGTGACCATGGGAGAGGGTAGAAGGGGGGAGAAGAGGAGAGGGAGGGGAGCAGAGAAAAATGTATAGCTCAATAAAATCAATAAAATATTAAAACATGAAGAAATTGAGCTTCTAAGAAAGCACCTTTCCGTTTTAGATATGGAAATAAATTATCTCTTTGAGTACAATTTTATCTAGATTATTATATTATAGTGTCTGTCTTACTTTAAAAACATCATTTATATAAAAAAAAAAAAGGTGCTTCTTTTCCACACCTCTGGAGCCTAGAAGAGATAACTGCCAGCTCCAGAACAGCCTGGACATAGCAAGACCTTGTTTCACAAAACAGAGGTATCAGAAACATTTTTCTTTTTTCTTTTCTCTTTTTTCTTTTCTTCTCTTTTCTTCTCCTTCCTTCCTTTCTTCCTTCCTTCCTTCCTTCCTTCCCTCCCTCCCTCCTTCCTTCCTTCATTCTTTCTATTTTCGTTTGCCCCCCCCTTTTGCTTTTTAAAAAGATTTATTTTATTTTTAAAATTAGGTGTGAGACGGCTAGAAAGATAGTTCAGCAGTTAAGAGCATATACTACTCTTGCAGAGGACCTGAGTTTGGTTCCCAGCACTCATGTCAGGCAGCTCACAACTGTCTGTCACTTCAGTCACAGGAAATCCAATGCCATTTACTGGCCTCCATAGGCACTGTACTCATGAGCATGCGCGCGTGCTCGTGTGTGTGTGTACTTGTGCACACACACACTTAAAACTTAAAAATGTTATATGTGGATACGTGCACGTGAGCATGGGAGCCTGCAGAGACCAGAAGAGGGTGTCAGGTCTGGAGTTACAGGCAGCTGTAAGCCACCTGACATGGATGCTGGGCTCTGAACTGATAGGTGAGCAAGTGCTCTAAAGGGAAAGAGGGTTGGCATTGCAGCTGGGCAACAAAATCTTTTCAAGCATCTGCAAGGCTCCTGTGAAACAGCTGAGTCAAATGAGTGTTTTTTAAAATGGGTTATTTTAAAAGATGAATATGTCAGATTTGTTTTAGAAGGAAATATGGCTGGTAACTAACAAGATTATAAAAAAAAATCCAAATCCAAAGTTATCTAAAGTGTGGTTGAATATAAAAGACTGTAGGGATGTATATATGCATACATATCTCTGTGTATGTTTATTTGCTTTTTCTAGTGTGGAGGGTAAGATCTAGTACCTCACACCTGCTAGATAATGGCTGACCACTGAGTTATATTCCAGCCCCTGGAGATTTAAGTTGGATGGAGGATGAAATTGATGTTTTTGGGAGAGTATACTGGTATAGGCTAACCTGGAAGGTAGTAGAATAATAAGAATTCACAGCCTCGGAAATATTAGTGCACAGAGAAAGAATTTCATAGAAAGTCCCCAATCAGAATTCGCTACTAAGAAGCTGATTCACAAACTAAAAATCAAGAAACAAACACCAATCTTTACATTAAGTCGAGGATCGAATCTGGCAAGTAGTTAGTCTATCCTAGACGATCTTGGAAAAGAAGACATAGTTAAATGTAGCCAAAATTAAAATGTTTTAATACTGGTCTACTTTTATAGTTTATTTGTATTCAAGGGGTAATTTTTTAAAAGCCCAACAATGGCACCATCTCATCCCAACTATTTTTCTTTACTATACTATACTTGTCTCAGCATCTTACTACTGGAGACGGTTGTAGTCACAACATACATTGTAGCTTGCATAAGATCTTAAAAACAGTATTTATTTATCTGGGAGGTGATATATGGAGGTTAGAGGACAATTTTCAGGAATCATTTCTTTCTTCCACCATGTGGGGTCCAAGACTAAAATTCAGATCACCAGGCTTAGCAGCAAGTATCTTAATTTGCTGAATCTGTATTTTCTACCTCATCTTTTTGTTTTTTTTTTTTTTTTTTTTTTTGGAGACCAGGTCTCTCCACACAGCCTCATTCGGCTAGTTCTCATTCTATTTTATTAGACTGCTTAACACTGCCTAGGCATCTGCATCCTCTGTTCCTTTCTCTGTGTCAAATACTAGAACAAGCTACAGCTGCCTTTGGCCCCTCTTTTACCTAGGAGCAGAGATTTCCAAAATGAAACTCATTTGCTTTTCCTCTATCCTTCACTAAGCAAAATTCTCATTTTTGTTGGGTATGAATGTGCACACCTGTCAGACCAGCATTTGCAGGCTGAGTCAGGGGGACTTTGAATTAGAAGGCAGCTTGGTTTACGTAAGATCTTATCTCAAGAGCTGGAGAGATGGCTCAGTGATTAAGAGCACTGGCTGTTCTTCCAGAGAAGCTGGGTTCAATTCCCAACACCCACATGAGAGCACACAAATGCATGTAATTCTATTTCCAGGGGATCTGACACCTTCACACAAACATACATGTAGGCAAAACACCAATGCACATAATAAAAATAAATAACTAAAAATAAAATAAAGATCTTATTTCAAAATTGATTAAGTGAGTAAGTAAGTAAATAAATAAATAAAAATTCTGAAATCTGAGTGTGCATGCTTGTTATTCAAGCACTGGGGAGGCAGAGGTGGGGATTCTTGGGGCTTACTGACCAGCCTAGCCTACTTGGCAAGCTTCAGACCAGTGAAAGATTCAGTCTCAAAAACAGACAAAAAAGACAGTGTCTGAAAAATAACATCTGAGTTTGTCCTCTGGCATATACTTATGTGTACCTTCACATGCATACATGTACACATAGATGAATACACATGAAACCCAACTTTTGGACTACCTCACCTAGATGTTAGGAAAACAACTAATGGTTTGTCTTATAATCCTTCTAATATTGTTTGCACATTAACTCAAGTGTTATAACATCCCATGGGGGTAAGATGGATCAAGAGGTAAAAGGATTTTGCCTAACAAGCCTGATGACTTAAGTTTGATTCATGGAACCCATCCCTGACCTCCACATTGGCATTGAAGCTTGCATACACACACACACACACACACACACACACACACACACACACACACACACACACACGGACTCTGTTCACTTCACTCCCATTTCTTCTTCCTCTGGATTACATTTTATACCTTTCTTAGTAGCTAAATCCTTTTATCCTTTGACCCCAAACCTCTGGCTACCCTGGATGTAGATTTTTCCTTTCTCTTATCTCATAATATTGTGTGTGTGTATGTGTGTGTGTGTGTATGTGTGTGTGTGTACACATGCATGGGACACATGTGGAGCCAGAGGACAACTTTCAGAAATAGATCTCTTTTTCCACTGTGGGTTCTAGGGGATTGAATTCAGGTCATCAGGCTTATACAGCAAGAGCATATTACCTGCTGAGCAATCTTGCCAGCTCTAGCTACTTCTTCATGTTTTTTTCTTTCTCCCTATTAAAATTCTCTGTAATATGTCCTACTTTTTGTGAGCTTTACTAGCTAAAGAGATATGTTAACATACCCAAGTATGCTAATTATTTACTTTTTCTAAGTGAAATACTCTTCTGATATGTATGCAGCGGGAGTCACTTGTACAGCCACATTGATGATCACTGATGATACATACTCCCAAACACCTCCATGGGGTATCTGCTCAGTAAATACATTTGTTGATAAAAGAGAAAGGCAAGCGAAAGTAATCTGAAACACCGTCATGCTGGCACTGTGCTGATGTCTCTCTTACAAGGATATGGATGGCCAAGGCAAGAGGATCACTGAGTCCAGGAGTTCAGGAGCATGGCCAAAGCACCTGAGACCTTTGAGACATGATGGAGAAAACAAACCTAAGAACCCATGAGGTAGAAGAAAGAGCTGGAGAGAGCCAGTGGAAGGCCGGTTCCAGCCCTCACTGGGTTTAACAGAGTTAAAATTGTTGTGGGTTGTTTAGATAGAAAAGATTTTCATCTTTATCTTGGAATAACTAGTGGTAAAACAGCCAACCGCACTGTGTTTACAACAGCATTGGTGAGGTTGGATAGATCCCCAAACCCTGTCCAACTTCCTGTGATAAAATGTTACATTTTGTAACCTGTTGTACTCTGGATGTGAAGCATTTTTGCACAGCATTGTGATACTGTATGTTTTGTCCAGGTTTTACTGTAATGCTTCCTCCCATCATCCAGAGTTGACTGCAGAAGCCATAATAGACTTGCCTTTCTCTGGTAGACTGCTTTTCAGTTTTGTATGAGCTTCTCAAGATGTGACTTCTTTCTTTAAGATTTGTTTGTTTATTTATTGTGTATTTGTTTATTATTTATTTATAAACAAGACAGGGTTTCTCTGTGTAGCCCCAGGCTGTCCTGAAACTCACTCTGTAGACCAGGCTGGCCTCAAACTCAGATATTTGCCTGTCTTTGCTGGGATTAAAGGCGTGCCCCACCACATGCTAAGATTTATTTTTAATTACTTGTATGTGTGTGTGTGTGTGTGTGTGTGTGTGTGTGTGTGTGTGTGTGTGTATGTGGGGGTTGTGCATGTGAGTATAGGTGTCTTCAGAGGCCAGAGGTATTGGATCCCCGGAGCTGGAGTTACAGACACTTGTGAGGCACTTGCTATAGGTGTTGGAACTGAACTCTAGGTCCTTTGCAACTGCAACAACGTGTCATTAACCACTATGCCATCTCCCCAGTCCTTCACCTTATTTTTTGATCTTTTATATTAAGATCTCTTATATTAAGATCTATCACTGAATCTAGAGCTCACCAATTAGCTAAACTGGTTGACCAAGAAGCATCAAGACTTTTCTTGTTTCCACCTTCCATGTGGTATAGGCACATGCTGCTGTACTCAGCTTTTACGGGAGTACTGGTAATTCAAAGTCAGTCCTCATGCATGTGCAGTAAGCATTTTACCAACTAAGCCATCTTCACAGTACTTGACTAACATTATTTTTAAATAAAAATTTAATCACTAAAAGTACTGTAGGTATGGATAAAGTATCTTATTTGGTAATAATATAATTATATAAGTTGTTTGCCAAATTGCAAAAGGCATAGTACAATGTATAATCATCTTCTCTATAGACAAGTTCAATTTAATATAACTACCCTACAAGCTGAATTATCAGTCTTCTTTTTAAAAAAGTTTATTTTTATTACACGTGTATAAGTGTTTGTCTACATGTATGTATGTGCACAATGTACATGCCTGGTGCCTATGGAAGCCAGAAGTCAAAGTAGGTTCCCATAAACTATACGTACTGGAAATTGAGTAGAAGTCCTCAGCAAGAGCAGCCAGTGCTCTTAACTGCTTAGCTATCTCTCCAGCCCCTACTAGTCTGTTCTGAGATAAAAAGCCTGGGAAAGAATGCATTTCAACACATTGCCTCCTTACCAAGAAAGATATTTCAGATGAAATACACTATAACTGACACAGGTCTACAAATTATACTTTGGGTAGCAGTATCTCATATCACCTCCTCAGTTTTGTTTTGTTTTGGTGTGTGTGTGTGTATGGCTTGTTATGTTTGCATTTTCTGTTCTATTGATTAAATCCAGGATCTCACACATGCTAGCCAAGTGCTCCACCACTGAGCTACATCCCTAATCCAACTCCTTCAACTTTAATCCAAGTCGACACAATTTTATAAAAAGGTATTTTTCTCATGCCAAAGTTTCTGTATCATTTCTCATTCTGAAATTTACTGGGATTAATTAATTAGTGTGTTTTCTCTGGATTTTTCCCAGTCTTCTTATTTATAATTTAGGATTCTAATAATGGTCAGAAGAATGTTATAACAGCCAAGAATAGTAACATACTGGTAAAATTTTTAATTAGTATACTCAGAACTACAATTTTAAAATAGATTGTATAATAGCACCAGTAAAATAACAGCTTTGAAAACTTTATTTAACTTTTTAAAAGATACAAAATCACTTAGTCTTCAGCACTGACCTAAATATTCCATCAGCTGCTCCGCAGTTATGATTTCCATCATTGGTGGAAGTTTCACCTGAAAAAACAAAGTATTATTTCTATAAAGATGTTTTTGATGACTGATTGTTTCCTTAAGTCAAAAGCAAGTATACATGTGCAGGCAGATAGACACAAACACTTACTATATAAATATACTAACATTTATGCTTATATAATAAAGTCATCCAGGCATGTGGCTCATGTGTATACTCCCAGTACTCAGTAGAAGGATGACCATGAGTTTTAAATAAACTTCACTTAAAAAGTGTGACTTTTTCTCAAAAAAAGTGCAAATAAGGGTGAACAAAATAGTTCAGTAGGCAAAAATCCTTGATAAGTGAGCTTGATGACCTGAGTTTGACCCCGGGAACTCGGGGTGAGAGGACAGAATGGACTCTTATAGTTGTGCTCTGACTTTTACACATACTATGATACATATGCACATCAAGACACACATGATTCCTTACTCACATCTCATACACACATATACACTATGAAGGGTATGTTAAAATAACAGAAAGGGATGATAAATGCCCCCAGAAAAAGATTGCATAATGCTTTATTAACTTTAAATTTTAAATGCTAATGAGAAAGGAACAGCTGTGGAGAGACATTGGATAATAGAAAAAAAAACTATGAAATTAAATCAGCCAGTAAGTATTCAATGATAGGAGAAGACCATAATTAAAAATATATTAGTCACTATGTTCTGTTCAACAAAGGAAAGTGTTTAAATTATCAATATCTCCAAAAGCTCCCTTGTTAAATTGTTAAAGAAGGCATTCTAAGTTTATGCTATCAAGTGTGCGCTGATGATATATTAAAATGTTTTTGATCAATGATAAATTTTCAAAATGATTGATAAAAAACATAGCAGTGTTAGCCTCTCTGAGAACACATATGACAGCTGTCCAGTTATCTTTTGGATTTATCACTCTGTGAAAACCAAGATACACCACACAAGCTTGCTCATCATATTATTCTTAATGAGTTTTATTCTCTGTAACAATGTATTCTAAAGAATAATTTTGGCTGCAGGCAGCATTCTAGTTACTGTCTAGTTCAATGCCTTATTGTAGTGTACTCAATAAACCATCCTTCCAAAAAAGGTAATTTTTTAAACAAAAGATTTACTTTGTTTACTTATATGTATATATCTAAATGGGTATGTGTCATGTGTGTACACATACTCAGAGGCCAGAAAAGGGTGCTAGATCCCATGGAGCTGGGGTTATAGGCAGTTATGAGTCCCAGCAAGGGTGTGGAAAACCAAACTCAGGTCCTCTGCAAGAGTTGTATGTGTTCTGAGCTACTGAGCCAGCTCTGCAGCCCACTTTCTACATAATTTTAACATTGAAGCTCACTTGCAAATCATAGCTTGCTGTGATTTTCTAACAAAAAGCTGGGATTCTTACTCATTATTTATGTATTCTTTGGCCATATTTCAATATATTCTACATTTTTTGTATTACAGCAGCAAAGTTTAATTTCTCTAACAGAGACTCCTAAAACACAAAGCCTAAAATGATTACTAATTAGTTTTTAATTTTTTTTGTTTTATGTATGGGTGTTTTGCCTGCATATATGTCTGTGCACCATTCATATGGTTGGTGCCCATAGAAGCTACGAGCAGGCCAGAAGAGAGCATCAAAGCCAATGGAGCTGGAGTTACAGATGGTGGTTGTTGAGCTACCAAAAGGGTGCTGGGAATTGGACCAGGTCCTCTGGAAGAGCAGCCAGTGCTCTTAACCCCTGAGCCATCAACTCTCCATCCCCACTAAGTAGTTCTTTACAGGACAATTTACTAACTTTTGCTTTAGACTATTCTAGTTATCATTATACAGTATTTATCAAGGTGTTTCAGTATTATATTTGGAGTGCTGATATCTAGGGTTTTTTTTGTTTGTTTGTTTTTGTTTTTAAAGACAGGCTTTCTCTGTGGTTTTTGGAGCCTGTCCTGGAACTAGCTCTTGTAGACCAGGCTGGTCTCGAACTCACAGAAATCCACCTGCCTCTGCCTCCCGAGTGCTGGGATTAAAGGCGTGCGCCACCATCGCCCGGCCTCTAGTTATTTTTTTGTATTCTAAAGATGGAACTCTCAATTTCACAGCAATCTGAAAGGAACATTCATACATATTAATGTTTTCTAAAATTATTATTATTATTTTTGGGAAAGGTCCTCACTATATAGCCTTACCTTGCCTGGAGTCCACTATGTAGACCAGGCTGGCCTCAGACTCACAAAGATCTACTTGTCTCGGCTTCCTGCATGCTGAGATTAAAGATGTACGCCACCATCAGTCTGTTTCTACATCTTTTGACATTTATTTATTTTGTGTTTGTACCTGTATGGTGTGCCCATGTGCCTGAGGATACTTGTGGAGGTCATAAGATAACTTGCCAGAGTCTATTCTCTCCTTCCACCATTTGGGTCCTAGGAATCGAACTCAGACTGTCAGGCTTGATGGCAAGCACCTTTACCTGTTGAATCTTGTTGCCAACTTAAATGATGCTGTTTTCTTTTTTTTTTTTTTTAAGAATTATGCGTTCTCTTATTTAAGACAGATTCAATGTGACAAATTCATCAAAAGATTTCATGAACAAATAATTTATCCTTTCTCAAGGGGCCTGCAAGATAGTCCAGCAGGTAAAGGCACTTTCCAAGCCCAATGATCTGACAATTAGAGTTCTATTCTCTGGATCCTTATAATGGAGGGAGAAGCAGGTTGTCCTCTCACCTCTACACATGGACTGTGGTGTACCCTCCCAATACATAAATAAATGTAAAAACAAGAAAAAAGAAACCCTTCTTTTTAATTTTGGTAATCTTGTAAAATTAAGAAGCTGAAGAGACAGGGGCTGTAGCTTAGTGGTGGAGCTGCGTTCACCATGGACAAGGTCTGAGGTTCAGCCACCAAGACCAGAGGATAAGAATAAGATGGAGACACTGAAGAGTATATGAATTTGGTATATACATTCTATAATCCTAGGGGTCGATGTAATTTCAGATCATGGTCTTGAGCGTTCCAAGAGGAGACTGCCTACTGTGCCCTGTAAGTACATAAAATGGGAATGACCACCTCTATACTGATATTAGAAGTAGCCTCAAGAAAGGTCAAAGGTAAAAACAATAAAATCTTGTGTTTAAAATATTAGTGGAATTTTAAAGAGGAACGTAAAATTTTCTAGAAGCGATAGGCTAAGATTTTAAGGGGATGGGGAAATAGTAAATGCAGAGGACTCGTCATACAAAGGAAAAAGGAGCAGCTTATATAGATGATACTAATAAAAGCCTTTAGTCCCCAAACTCAGGAGGCAGAAGCAGAAAGACCACTGGAAGTTTGAGGTACACTGACTCACATAGAGAATTTCGGATTGCAAGAGACACTGTCTTAAGAATAAAAAAGTTTTTGATCAGTTATCATAGGTAACTGTTAAATTCTTAATACAATGTCAATAAGTATTGAAGAGACATATGGTTAAGTTCTAACAACTTTTCTAATGTGCTTATGTGTGTCCATGTCTGTCTCCATATGAACAGAGGACAGCATTGGATGACCTCCCCTCTGTCACTTTTCTCTTTATTCCTCTGAGGAAGGGTCACTCCCTGAACCTGAAGCTTATACATTTTTTAGATAAGCTTGTATCAGTAATCCCCAGTGATTTTCTTGACCCTGTCCTTCCTCAGCGGGGGATTACAGATGTTTCTAGAGCACACCTGTCTTGTTGGAGGACACAGCACTCCCGGTGGCTCTCCTTCTGTCGCAGCTTCTCAAGTGTTGGGATGCCCAGCTCCAACAGTTTTTTAATAGTAGAGACACAATTGAGCTTGTCCCATCTAGTCATTAAATTACCTACTGTCATTCGACTTTCTTGTCACCTTAGTTGATGACTGTGAAACAAGTGGCAAGATATAATTAATTCAAAGAATAAATTAAGTCTTTGAAATGTTTATCCAAAGTAAGTGGATGACTTGTAATATGACTTGGGACTCACAGCAAAGTAAGTTCCTTTTTCATTATAACAGCATGAACTTCAAAAGAAAAAAAAGAGGAAAGAATGAATAACATATGTTCAGTCAGTAAAATGTCTGTCAGAATCAGATATATCCAACCTGGCTCATTATGTTATGACACTGTCATCCACAAAGTTCACACACACACACACACACACACACACACACACACACAATTTCAGAATGTTTAAAGAAAGTTAATGATTATACTTTAGGGCACATTCATACTATCCTGAGGTGCAAGCAGCCAAGTACCTGAAGGTGGAGTGTAGAGATCAGTGATAGAGTACTTGCTTAGCGTACTAAATTTAGTTCCCAAAAAGAAGTTGCACCCATATTAAATATTCTACAAAGCCTGATTACCTGATAGAAATTTAGTGACTGTGGAAAGACTGGAACATTGTAGGTCCAGAGTCTAATTATAAATTACCCTGGACTATCTTTAGTCCTCTTCATAGCTCACCTCTGTGCCTGGCCTATCATCTTTGGAATGTATTAATGTAGCAGACCACTAGCTTCCACTAACCTAAAATCGAAGACAGTCAGTAGATGGCATCTGAGACCCACAGCTAGGTTCTTCCGACCTCCCTCACACCCTCACTTTGCTATAACTCACCTATTTGATGTTTCCACCGATGTATTTGAAATATTCTTCGCTCTGTTACTCTAACAATTTCATGAAACTGTCACCATATCAGTACATGGGATTTGGGGTAACCAATTTTGTGTTCCTAGGACAGGGCCACTCACTTTTGGCTCCAGAATAAATAGTTGCCCAACACTTTTTTGTTTGTTTTGTTTGATCTGATCTTTTCAGACAGGCTCTCTCAACATAGTACAAGCTGCCATCAAACCTACCATAAGGTAAGAATTTTTTTAAATGTCATCAGATCCCGAACACAATAAAAACAAAACATTCAAAACAAGCAGTGCATAGTGACCCAGATCTGCAATCCCACTCTCAGGAGGACAGCACAGAAGGATCAGAGCCAATTTTAGTTACATAGTGAATTTGAGACCTGTCACAAAACTAAATTAAAGAAAAAGCAACTTAATCAATTAAAAGTGGAAAAAAGGGACTGGAAAGACAGTACAGTGGCTCCAGATCACTGGCTGTCCCTTCAGAGTGCCCAAGTTTGATTTCCAGCACACACATGGCAGTTTACAATTGCCTATTAATCTAGTTCCAGTAGATCTAACGCCTTCTGGCCTCCTCTGGCCTTCAAAGGCACTGGAATTCACATGGTACATAGACATACATACAGAAAAAAACAATCATACAGGATAAAATAAAACTAATTTAAAAAGCAAAGTAGAGAATAAGTGGCTGAAGAGGTGGTTCAAAGGTTAAGAGCACTTACCAGGGTTCCATCGCTAGCACGCACATCTAGGCTCACAACCATATGTAACTCCAGTTCCAAGGACTCTGATCTGGCCCCCACCAGCACCAGGCATACATGTGGTACACATGCATACATACATGGAAAACAGCCGATCCCCCTCAAAAAAATACATGGGAGTATCTTATTTTTCTAAAAAGTGGAAAATAATGGGGGAACAGTATCAAAGTGGACTTTAAGCCAGGTATGTTGCTGCACACCTGTAATTCTAAAACTCAAATGCAGTGACTAAATAGCAACACCCTGTTTCAAAACAAACCAAAGTAGAAACAAAAAGTGACTATATTCAAAGGCCTAGTTTGTTGGTACCACGTGTATTCAAAGATCAAACAAACATCCTTAACCTGGACCTCCATAGGCATGACTGGAAAAGGAAAAGCAAGGCTTTTTCATTGGAGGAATACTATCAGAACCAGGCATCCACCCATGCAGGAACATGCTGTTCGCATCTACTTTGCTCACAAATCCAGAGACACATAATACTTCTAATTCTTGAGTGAAGCTGGGAAAGGAAGCTCCAGAACTGTTCCTCAAATCTTTTATGTAGATAAGGTCCTACCACTGTATAAAGTTTTAAATTTCTCCTTACCAGATCTATATTTAAAACAGAGTAGGCAGAGGCTAAGATAAAACCTTTGGCTCACCATCTGTTTTTCCTTTTTTATAAGTGATAAACACACTTGGAAAACCTCAAAAGAGTTTTGTGCTTACTTTAGGAAAAGAGAGCATGAAAAAATTAGTGTGACTGCAGTTCTTCTACAGGATTGGTAGGATGGGGCAGAATAGACAGAAAGTAGTGTGAAGGATTTATGAAAAACACAGGGGAGAAGAGATGAGATGTCATCAAAAAGTAGGGCGACCCATAGCAAACAGTCACTGCTAGAAAGATGCTCAAAGACATGGAATTTCACTTCAAGGTGATAAAATAAGAAATGACCATCTGAAGTTAAAGTTTCTTTTCTTTCTTTTCTTCCTTCTTTTCTCTTTCTCTCTTCCTTTCTTTCGCTGTTGAGATAGAGTTTCTCTGTGTAGCCTTGGCTATCCTTGAACTCACCCTGTAGACCAGGCTGGCCTCAAACTCAGATATTTGCCGGCCTCTGCCTCCCAAGTGCTGAGAGTAAAGATGTGTGCCAATATTACCTGGTAAATTTTTTTTGCTATTGATTTTTTTCTCCATTTGTCATTATGTTGCTCTGCTTTATTCTTGCTTATTTTTAAGTGCTCTTTATAAACTAAGAAACTAGATGGCTCAGTGGTTAAGAGCACTGACTGCTCTTCCAGAGAACCCAGATTCAATACCACTCATATGGTGCCTCACAACTGTCAGAAATTCCAGTTCCAGGAGATCTGGTGCTCCTTTCTGGATTCCTGGGCTCCAGACATGCATGTAGTGTACAGATACACATTCAGACAAAATACCCATATATACTAAAAAAGAAATTAGTACTGGAGTCAGGTGAAGACAAACAAATCACACTACAAACATGTTTGAAAATGTGATAACGAGGGCTGCAGATGTAGCTCAGCTGACAGGTACCTCCTAGCATACATGAAGCCCTGGTTAACCGCAGAACCACATAAACTGGGAGTGGTGGCACATGTTTGTAATTCCAGTACTTGGGAGGCTGAGATAGGAGAACCGGAAGTTCAAAAATTATCCTCAGGCTATATGGCAAGCTGGAGCCCAATCTGTGATATTTAAGACTCCATCTCAAAAACAAACAAAAAATCAAATAGTATAATCCATTATTTTCTATATAATTAGTATCATGTGAAAAGATGAATATGATCAAAGTATGTCATATATATGTATAAAAATGTCATAGTGAAACCCATTATTTTGTACAATATAACGGTAACTACAAAAAGAAACTTGAAGCTGGGACAATGGCTCAGTGGAAAAAGTGCAACTGAATTTGGCTTCCCAGCACCCATGTAGAAACTGCAGTGTCAAACTTCTGTACTCAGCACCAAAAGGTGGTGAAGTAGAACAGGCAAACCCAGGGCTCAAGTTCAACTGAGAGACTCAGTCTCCAAAAAACCAAAACAAGAAATATTGAGAGTCATACAGAAAAACACCTTACCTTCACACCTACATGCACACACACACACACACACACACACACACACACACACGCACACTAGTTCTTAGACATTATAACCCGACAAATACTTCTATGTGTTGTGTATAGTGAATGCCCTTTTGTTCTTTTTAACCTCAATTATTATCCATCCATCAAAGAATCTAGAAATCTCTGCTGACTTCCAAAAGGTAAATAACATTTTTGTATTATTAGGGAAACAGTTTTGACCTCTAGAAACCCTGGCTCAGCTTGAGAACCCTACTTGACATTGTTTCCCTCACCCGTCTCTCCATCAATCATTAATGATGACTGAGTTTTGTTGGCATAAATAGCCTACAGGCAGAAAAAGGGCTGAGAACCAACGATTTTCAAAATAATCTTCAAATTCATTAGTATGCATTCTCATTCACAGACTAACCAAACCCATCAAATTTACTTCTTGCTTATGATCCTTTCTTTCCCCTTCTCTACTGCATTTCAGAAAACTTGGAGAGATTCAATACAAACTATCTCTGATTTTTCTTCAAATGTACCCTTTTGTCCAGAGCTCTTCTCTCATTCACTCTTCTGACCTGAATCAGTGTGTCTCATCTCTGAAGCCTTCCCCTGAGATCCTGTTCCCAGTTACCCACCCCCTCCCTTTTTTTTTTGGTACCTCCTTAACACATTAGAGGGCTGCATCTACCTCCTTATCATATACTGAGCTCTTGAAGGCTGATGTGCTTTGTACTGTCTTTGCTCTTATAGTGTCTTCTACAAAAGCAGAACACAAATGTGGTTCCACATTTGAGTCTGTCTTTCAGAGTCAATTCAAGGTTCATATATCCAGAAAGTAATCCAGACCACGGTAACTGCTCTTCCCACTCTGAATGTGGGTGACGGTCCATGGGCTGCGGGTTTGGACTAAATAAAAAGGAGAAATCCAATTGAGCAGGCATCTCTCTCTGCTTCTTGACTAGGATGAGACCAGCTACGTCAGTCCAGCGACCATGTCCTCTCTGACTTAATGGACTGTACTCTCAAACTGTGAGCAAAATAACCCACACCTTCAGCTGCGTTTGTCACAGCAATGAAAAAACTAACTATGCCAGAAAACTGGTGGTCAGGACTGGAGCCTTTGCTATGATCAACCTGACCATGGAGCTCCTAGACCTTTTGAACTGGTTTGTAGAAAGAATGTGGAAGTTTAGAACGGTGGGATAGAAAAGCCCTACACTGTAAGTAGAAGTTAATCAAAATAATCTTCAAATTCATTAGCATGCACACTCATTCACAGACTAACCCAGATGATCGGAACCCAGATGACTCATTCCATCAAGTGCCCCAGATACCCAACATGAAACTGTAACATTTGGTGTTTGGGATTCCTCTCACTATCCATCTCACTTCTTCATAAATGGCTAGTAAAATTCAAGCTATTCTTCTAGGGAACATTGTAACTGCAAATGGAATTATCAATTTGAAAATAAGTGTGGAAATGTATTTTCTCAGCACCCAGAAACTGCAAGCTTAAATATGACACTTTATTCTGAGGCCTCAATACACCTGTCGTTCCCCTTTAATGCTCCAGTAACTTAGATTTATCATTTCTTATTTTAGTTGTTAAAAGTTTTAGCTTCCTTAACACATTCTAATGTATAGTTACTGGTCAGTCCCTTGAAGGAGAGCCAAAGAAACAAGGCAAGTAAAAAAAAAAATCATACAAAGGCAGAAAATACAGTCTTTGAAAATAAGTAATTTATGGTAAGTGGGGTCAGATCAAAGCTTTCCTTAAGTGGAATTTATATAAAAGGGCTGGCTGCATCTTCCTTATCTCTATTCCTTCATGTATTACACCCAAGGGTAGCAGCCAGTGTTCTCTAGAAAACAGTATATATATAATTACCATTAAACTTGCTCCATGATATCACATTGATAGTAACTCTGAAGATCACTTTTTCCAATTTCGATTGTTTTGCATATGTGATAACGTCAGTAAGAAGGAGTAATATGCGGGCGAATAGAGTAAAAATATTCAGAAAGTGTAGGTGTAGGGTCTAGATTCTACCTGTTTACAAGTACACCATCAGTTACAACCTTTAACTAAATGTTGAACTTTTAAAACAAAAGGGACCTGAAGCTAGGGGCAATTCTTTCTGACACACAGGTGAATAATCATTCAATAAAGAAATCCTGGAATTAATTTCGTGTAAGGAGGGGCTGTCAGAAGTGGTGGTGCATGCCTTTAAACCTAGCAGCACTCCGGAGGCTGAAGCAAGAAGATCATGAGTTCGAGGACGGCTTAAGCTACACAGAGAAACCTTGTCTCAAAAAAGGAGGTCTGATGAATGAAGAAACGAGGAAGCCATCAGCTGACAAACAGCCGTTTCCTCACCCCATTTTTTGCCCCTCCCCACAAGCTGTAGGAAGTAGAAAGCTGCAGATTGTACCTTCCAGGCCAGAAGCAAAACATTGAGGATGGCCAGCAAAGGGCAGGGTCCGTTCTCATTCTGGGTGATGATGGGCGTGTTCTCCTCTTTCCACTGGATCCATTTGATGTGATACACTGACTGTCCGGGAAAGCGTTCTTTGGAGGCCGCTAGCACCTGAGCCGGGTCCTCCTCCTCCTCTTTGCACAGAGGTGCAGCCCTGGGCGGCCCCGCCGCGCCCTCTTCCACGTCTTCGGGGACCCTGGTCTCCGCTCCCTCCTCACTATTGAACTCAGAGCTACTGGGGAAAGAATGCAGGTTGGAGAAAGACTCCAGGGAGTCCAGGCTGGGCGAATCCCCAGGGGGGCTCGGCTCGCTGCAGCTGCTGCTCAGGGCGCCGGCGCTGCTGGGCTCCTCGGCCGCCTGCTCCACCCCGCAGGTGCCCGCGTCGCCCACTGGTCCCGACCCTCGGCCCGCCGCGGCCTCGGCCAGCTCCGGGGAGGCGGTCACCTTGTGCTGCCCTCTCGGAGGCGCCTCCGAGGCGGCGGGGCTCGGCGACAAGCTGTCCTTCAAGTCCGAGTCCGCGCCGCAGCCGAGCTGTGACGGGGACGTCGGGTCCCCGGGGCTGCTCCGCGCGGCCGCCGCCCCCTGCCCGCCGCTCTCCACCGCGCGTCCTGCGAGACCATCCTCAGCCTCGCGCCCGCCGTGCCGTCGCCCTTCCGGCGGCGACTCTCGCTCCGCCGCCACCCCGGGATCCAGAGGCTGCGGGCTGTCAGGGCCGCACTCCATGCCCGGCCGCCCGCCCCTGGTCCTATAGACAGCGCGGCCGGCTCTCCTCAGTCAGCGCCTCCGACGCCATGACAGCCGCTCAGTGGCAGCTCCAGCGCCCTAGCGCGGCCTCGGTCAGGCACGTCACCGGAGAGGGCGGCGGGAGCGCGCGCGATCGCGCGCCCGCCCGTCCGCCCGAGAGGAGCGTGCCTTCGCGTGACTGCGCTCGGTGAGGCGCGGGGGACCCACACCGAGAGCGCTTCTCCCTCGAGGCCACGCCCCTCCCGCGCGTTCCAGCCAAGGAAAGCAGAGCGAGGCTAGGGGCGTGTTTGGGGGCGTGTTTGGGGCGTGGCCAAAGGCGCGGCTCGGGCAGTCGCAAGGCCAGAAGGAAAATAGCCTCTGTGTGGGGCCGGAAGTTGAACTCCGGGGCACGCCCGCTGCGCGCGGTTACTTTGAAGGCAGTCGCCAAGGCTGGAGCGAGTGTGGTCCAGCTTTGGGCTTGTGCCTGGTGAACCCCGACAGTGGCAGTAGCGCTGGAAGAGAGACATTCTCTGAAGGGCTCCGGAGAGCCGTTTCTTTAGCTTTTAATATCGAAAATTGGAAGCCTTTCTTAGGAAATGCAGATTTTTAAAGGCGGAGATCTGTGGGAGGCTTTTGGAAGACTGCGCTGCACGGGGGCAGCTCTCCCTGGGTTTTGGCTGAGAATCGCCGTGCTCCCCACTTGCTACTGGTATGCCTTGCCGAGGCTTCAGTGCGGTTGTGGATATTGGCCTACGCCCCAGGAGAGATGGTAAATTTGGGCCAATAATAATAAATTAGTTTGCGTTTGAAGTAAGCCAAGTCTTTGCGGTTCTGTTCACTTGGCTCCTCTTTGCACGGAGTGGGAAGCGCCTGCTCCAGAAAAAGTGACTTTTTCTAATTAGAATTGACTTACCATGAAGCCCTGACGTCTGCAAAGAGGCCAGAGTTGCCTGCACAATTTTTATTTATTTATTTATTTTTTTTGCAAGAGTGGATACAGATCTTCTGACCTGTTTCGGAAAAGGATTTCAAAGTTGTCTAGGTTCAGAGGATATAAAAACGAACAAGACAGGTCTTCCTTCAGGGTCAGACATACAAATACCTGATACACCTGTCTCTACTGGTTAGAAAGGTGGACAAGCTAAATGCTTTGCTTTGCTCATTCACATTTTAGCATCAAGTGTGTTTCTGAGTACTATGTTTTACACTGTTATCTTCTCAGGAATTGCGGTCTTTTGGCCCTCCCTTCCACCTCTCTCTCCTCTTCCTCCTCCAACTCTCCCCTCCCTTCTTTTCTTTTCTTTTCTGACGCGTTTTTCTTTTTTCAATGCGGGGAATCAATCACTTTGTTTTATTTTATTGTTTTTTTGGTATTTTGGGGGGGGTGTTTTTGTTTTTGAGACAGAGTCAGGAATTCCCAGACATATAATGCAAATAGTCTTTTTGTAGTCCCTGTCCAATTAAAGGTTAAAGCTGGCTTTGGAGTTGGAGTGTGGTTCTCTCCTTCTCTAAACCCAAGCATGCTTGTTAAAAGTAAAATCCAAAATATCCAAAATCTGTCTCATGTCAGAAGAACCACCTGATATGGACAGAAGAACAACCAAAATTAAGGGACTATGTTATTGCCACTGATCTCATAATCCTTTGGTTTTATTTCGATTCTTTAAGGCTTTTCTTAAAGTATAAATATTATCTCAAATTTGTAAGATTAACATATACATTTTAAACTTTTTGTCATAATAGTAATGCTCATATAAAGTACTAATTCCTTTTCCCTCCCTCCTTCCCTCCTTCTTTATTCTTTCTTTTCTTCTTTCTCTTTCTGTTGAGAAAGTGCTGTGTAGCCCAGACTAAGCTTGAACTCACGCTCATCCTACCCCAGCCTCCCACCAGGTTTCTTCTTATTTTATGTTCTGACATTGTACTAGTTAGTATTTCTTTGTGGTTGTTGTGCTGTGTACTTGGTAACTACAGTCAGTATAGAAATTTATGTTCTTCAGTTATGGGAAATGGATTATTTCTTTAATAATTCCTGACTTTTCTTGATTTTACAGTCTTTATCAATTTTTTCTTTATAGCTTTAATTTTCAAATATTCCTTGTAGTTCCTTTTTATTTTATATTTTAGGATATTGATTATAATTTTATATTATCCTTTTGATGTCATGTTTTTTTAAAAAAAGATTCATTAATTTTTATTGTATGCGAATGAGGGGTTTGCGTACTTGTGTACCTGGTGCCTGTAGAGGTCAGAAGAAGGTATTAGATTCCCAGAACTGGAGTTACAGACAGTTGTGAGCCATCATGTGGGTGCTAGGAACTGAGTCTGGATCTTCTGCGAGAGCAGCAAGTGCTCTTAGCAGCTGAGCCATATCCCTCCAGTCCCACCTTTGTCTTTTCCAAAGGGTATTGAACCAGATGCATCAGTAACAAGTACTTAGTAGTGTTAGGGATTAAGACATAGGGGAAAGAGATAGAGAACAAGTCTTACTTTGGGAAATAAGATATTGATAAAGGCTGAGGAGATGGCTCAGCTAGTGCTTTACAAGCACGAAGACTGGCTTTTGGGTCCCCAGCATCCACATAAAAGCCAAGTGCAGTGGTACATACCTGAAATCTCAGCAGCGGAGGGACAGAGAAAGCAGACCTAAGGGTTCCCTGACTGCCTGTCTAGCTGACATAGTGAACTTCAGGTTCAAAGAAAGATACTGTCTCAAATACAAAGAGGGTAGAGTGTGGTGGTCCATGCCTTTGGTCCCGGCACACAGGAGGTAGAGGCATCTCTGTAGTTTGAGTCCAGCCAGGCCTACATAGCAAGTTTCAGGCCAACCAGAGCAAAACAGTGAGACTCTGTTTCAAAAAAAAAAAAAAAAAAAAAAAAAAACCACCAGACAAACCCACAACAAAGCAAGAACAACAGCAACAACAAAAACCAAAAACCACAAAACCCAAACCAGGTGGGAAGTGATTGAGGAGGGAGTGATTGACCACTGACCTCTACACAATCTTCAAAGGTGAGCACACTAATACACACATGCACAAACACATACTATCTCCACACACTGAGACACTTTGACATGAAATTATTATAGAGAATATGTCACAATATTAAATAACTAGTAATAAACAACAAATATTGTAAAAAAAAATTAGAGGAAAGAAACCCATGTGAGTATTGCCTTAGAATTGAGATACAAAATCTATATCTCTTAAATATCAAAATTATTATTATTAATTATTGTTTAGTTAGTATTTTTGGATTGTCTTTGACCACGGTCTTTTTATTTAGCTCAATTAGCCTGGTACAGTACTAATTCCAAAGTTCAGACTGGCCCAGGGTCCTCTAGAGGAGCAGAACTGATAGAATGTATGCATATTAAAAAGGGATTAACTAAAGTCGCATATGACTGAAAGGGACTGGGTGGTCCAATACCGTCTGTCTACAAGCCGGAGAGGCTGAGAACCTGGTAGCTCCTCAGTCAGTGAAGCCATGTTCCTTAGCAGTCCCAGTTTGGTGCTGGTGCTGAAGGGCTGCAGAGTTCCTGGAGAGTCCCTGGTCCTGGTCTTCAGTCCACACTAGAGCCTGATGTCAGCGAACAATGGCAACAGCAACAGAGAAAGACACATTCATCAGCAGGAACTGCAGGCAGGCAACCAGTGCCGCTGCTTCCTTAGATCTCCTTATATACCACCCACCCGATAGGTGCCACCCACTCAGTGGAGGAGGGGCTTCGAAGTTAATTCTTCCAGGAAATGCTCTCACACACTTCCACGTCTCTTAGTTTGTTCCAGACCCAATCAAATTGACAATCAAGATTAACCGTCGCAGATACCATAATTAGCTGCATCGAAATGAGCCCTGAGCTCATTTCACGGAACGTGTACAGGGCATATGTACCTTAGCTCCACCTCATCTAGTTTTCAGTTCAACATATGTGAGTTAAAATCCAGGCTTTTCATGTAACTCAGTCGCCCTGGCTTTGGCCCTCAGCGGCTTGCAGACACTCCAGCTTCCTGCAAAGTACATCCCCAACTCGATGACTTCCTTTGGCCCCCATGAGGAGCCCTGCACCTGTTCAGAAACAAATTCAGTGCTGTGATAATCGGCCAGGTGCTGCCTCTGCACCATGCTGCTTTAGCAGATGCTCCTCTGTCCTGGTGCTATGAAAGGATGGAGAGAAACAGCCTGTCCCCCTCTATTGTAGCCCTCATGTGCTGTAATAGGGAAAGTTCTCTCAATTGCACTCATATAGTCTTACCAAAAAATGAAACCCAAATGTGTATTTGGATGCTATAGATTGTTCTAGGAATGAATCCAAGGAGTATATTCCATCACTTCCAAATACTCCCTACTATATGACTTGTTCCTCTAGTCTTAGACCAGTTTATTATTGGGTCGAGTTTAATTGTGCCTGCTTCCTTCTTTCCACAGGACGTCTCTCAAGGAAAAAAAAAGTTCTTTCAAGGGTTGGATGTATGTAGCCTATTGGTAAAGTGTGTAATTAGCAGGGTTTAATTCCAGAATGAAAACAATTAACAAAATCCTGTCTTGCCAACCTATTATTTTTACCAGATAACTCTCAACTCTGGTACAGTTCTCAAAGTATGTATTTTTTGATTGACAATGCCAACATCGTCTGGAAACATCACAAACAAAAGTCCTTAGGAATGAGAATGAATGCATCGATCAGTGGTAGGGTGCTGGCCTGTTGTAGGCAAGGCTCCAGATGTGCATGTCTTGTGGTGGAGGAGGGCCATTCTCTGGTCTTATATAGAAATGTGATGTTTAAGAAATCCTCCATGTGATTCAAATACACTGTAAAGTTTGATCACTGGACCTGAGGATGTAGCTCAGTAGAGTGCTTTCCTAACACATGAAGGCTTGCGTTCCATCCCCAGGAAAGTGTCAATTGGGTGTGGTGGTCTGCTGTCTAAAACGCAGGAAGTGGAAGTAGGAGGGTCAGGAGTGGAAGGTCATCCTCAGCCTTATAGTAAGTTGTTGAACTTCTTAGGTTATGCGAGCTCCTGTCTCAAAACAACCAAACATGGTGATCTCCACTACACTAGGAATGGGCCAGCCAGGGATACATTAGACCCTGTCTTAAAACAAAAACAACAAAAAACCAAATACAGGAATGTAGCTCAGTCGATGGCATACAGGTAGTGTATGCCTGTAATCCTAGCACTTGGGAAGTATTTTTGTGATTCTGTCTCTGTTTCAAAAACAAAACAGACCAAACCAACTAAAAACAAGTAAACTAAAAACAGATATGAAACAACTTGGTCTTTTTTGTTTGTAGCGATACTTCATTATGTTTGCTTAGAAGACTTCAGTCACACTTCAGTACTATTAATTCTGAAGAGTCAAATGAATCAGAATTCTGTTCAGGTGTGTTTCTGGACTCCACCCCTGGCATTCTGGTCCAGCAGAATTGGAGAAAGGCCCAGGAACTTGCAGCTCTTGACAAGCAAGCAAAGTGATTCTCCTGTAGGAACTGTCCTGGCCTGTGCACTGAGAAACACTGGTCTGGAGCACTATCTGATGGGAAGCACCCTTATTGTTGAGTCATGTAATATGTGTTGTTAAGATTACTATAGTAGGGGGCTGGAGAGATGGCTCAGTGGTTAAGAGCATTGCCTGCTCTTCCAAAGGTCCTGAGTTCAATTCCCGGCAGCCACATGGTGGCTCACAACCATCTGTAATGAG